AACAACAGCAGCCTGATCCAGGCCATAGTCTTCACAATTGCTTGCTATGCATCAGAGAGCTAGACAACGACTAGAGATGACAGAAAGAGAATTGATGCCTTTGTGCTATGGTGCTAGAGAAGAGTGTTGACTATACCATGGACTGCAGGACCATCCTGCAGGTTCATCCTGGAGAGGGTAAAACCGGGCTGACACTTGTAGGCAAGGATTCTGAAGCTTCATCTGACATTCTTCAGGCATGCTACAAGAAGGGACCAGTCCTTTCAGAGGGACATCATTATTTGGGAGGGTAGAGGGACAGCACAGAGAGGAAGACCATGGATGAGATGTATCAATTCAGTGATTGGGGTAATGCAAGTGGGCGTGTCAGAGACAATAAGATTGACACAGGATAGAGCAGGGTTTAGGGCTCTTGTACATAAGGTTGCTAAGAGTTAACTGGATGACACATAACAACAGTCTACCTTTAATCTTACAACAGTTTTGTTGTTTTTTATCTGTAACTCTTGGAAACTATCAAGAAACTGATGGTTTTTATCTCTTTTTAAATGTGATATAAGATTATCTTAATACACTATGTTCATTAGTATTATCCTAATAATAAGCTGAACAAAATGAAATTTCAGTACAAATCACATTCAAAAGAAATAGTAGCACCTGCCTGTTTGAATGTCCTTCCAGAGAACCCAGGATTTAGAACTGTCTTCAAATATGATAAAGCAGCTCTGTTTCAATATGTTTATCTGTAAGAGAGAGGAATGTTTCTGATGGTCTCTTAAAATTAAAAACATGAAGTTAAAATTAAAAGCTGAAAATTATTAAGTTTGAAATAAACAAAATTTTTATATTACAGAAACTTACCTTTTTGATAGTTCCAAGATAAAACAAGCCATCTGACCATCTAGCTAGGACATCCTGACCCTCTTCAAATTTACATGCTGGCTTTTTGATTTTATGTTCATCCTGTAAAGACAGCTTGGTCAAGGATGTTGGGGTCTTTTGATTTCGACGTAAAGGAGACCGCTTGTGGACCAGTGAATTACCTGCCCCTGTAGAGTCTCTGTATAAGAAATATAAGAACACGTATTTATTAGACTAAAGTACTTTTAGAACTTATTTTATACCAACTTGATATTTATATATTAATTAAAAAACTGTGAAAAATCTTAAACTGTAGAGAAATATAATAAATATCTCTGATCACATACTCTCTTGAAACAAAGTAGTTTAAAATAACACAACAGCTCTCTATAGCCATTTGGTGCCTACCCTAAAGTAGGCATTAGTATCTAAGATAAGATATTCATGTCTTCATGGAAAAAGCAGCTGTAACTGGAGGTGGCCAGGCCATGCTCCTAAGCAAAAGATGATTTCACTTTCAGGATTGGATTTAAATAAGCTATTTGAAAACAAAAAAAGATGACTATCAAGTTGATTCTGACTCATGGTTTCACATCACATTGTTTTTCTGCTATTGAAAACACACTTAACAAAATAACCAGCAATAAAAATTTCTACATGTACAATTCAATGACACAAATTACATCTTTGAGTTGTACAACCATTCCCTCCTCCATTTTTCTGAGTGGGTCCTCCCCATTAATCTATTTATAAAGATTCCTATCTAATCTTCCAAACTGCTGTGGTAAGTTGTTAGGTTGTTTTTAGCAAAAAATGCTCAAGATGGATCTTTTTTAGTTGTTAAGCAAAACAATTATTTGGTTTTACATTACTAGAGGGGAAAGTTTTAGGTCAGTTCCAAGTAGATGGCAAAGTGTTGAAATTTTTATCAGATACATGGTTTCCAAAAATATTCTTCCAATTTATTAATTTTCTTCTCACTTTTTCTGTAGTTTAATATTTTTATGAGGGTTCTTCCCCCCCCCCACCGTTTGCTATTTTCTTGCCTGTAATTTCTACAAATTATCACCATGTCTATCTACCATGGAGTCAAATTATCAACCATTCAGTTAGCCTAGTGCTTAAACAGTATGCCAACAAAGGTCCTTAAAGTTGCACTCGAACAAGGAAACAGTAAATTGATAACTTGAATCCACAGGAACAAATGTAGGAAACCAGAAGCAGTAAATAAAGTGGCCAATATAAAATGAAGTGTGCCTCAACCACAAGTATATATAGGTATGACAGACATTTCTATATATGTCTATGTGCTGCAAATCTATTCATGGATAAAGTAAAATACCACTCATTGACATGGAGTCAAAACCAACTTGCAACTGACCCTCCAGTGGGTTTTCAGAAGCTATAAATGGCACCAGAAATTACCCCTCTCTCCCACTAGGAGCTGGTGGTAGATTAGAACCATATACCTTTGGAATGGAAGTATGACTCCCTAGCCTCCAGAGCTCCCAATTATTATTTTTATATTAATAGTATTCTTTTGACATTACAAGTATAAACACACAAAGATTCCATTTTTAATCTCAACAACAACTCACTGTCATAGAGTTGGAGCCAACTCATACTGAGCCTTTAAGTAGATTTCAAAGGCCATAAATTGAATACTGCCCATCTGTGTGAGAGAAAGCCTACAGAGTTGTTGGTGGATTGAATTGCCAGATGGCAGTCTTTGGGTTAGCTGTTACTATGTCACGAGAGCTCCCTATTTATTATTAGTATCATAGTAGGATGGGTCTTTTCATAGTTGTGTTAATAATTTGTATGTTCTGTGAACTGTGGTTTAAATTCTTGGCTCTTTTCTCCCCCTTTTTTTCTGAAATGCTAATCTTTCCCAGAGTATTTTATATATTATGAATAATAATCACTTGTCATTCATATTACAGCCAACTACCTATATTGGGGTCGCTATGAGTCGCCTATGACATGACGGCACTTAACAACAACACCTATACTGTAGTTGTATAAAATGCCATGATAAACAAGACTTTTTGATGGGTTGTTGTTAAGTGCCATCACATCGTAGGCGACTCATAGCGGCCCTATGAATGAAAGTTCTCAAAAGTGGTGTGACTTTCATTATTATTCCCTTTGGCTTAACACTTGATTCTAGTTAGTAGCTACAAACCCCTTATTTCTCACCTAACATTTACACTGCGTCTCCTGTTTAACAAGCCAGGTTAGAAGGAAAAAAGGAAAATCCTAACTACTGGCCAAATCACATTCTTAGACTAACTCCTACTTCCTACCTTTCATCCTCTCTACAATTCTTATTGGACGATTTTCGTTTAATTAATAGGGTTTCCATTTATTCTGTTGTTACTATTATCTATTTGTCTTCTACTTGTTTACAAACTCTGGTGGCCTGGTAGTAAGAAACTGCACTGCAAATGTGAATGCATGCAATTCAAACCCACCAACTGTTCCACCAAGAAGGACGAAACTGTGTTAATTAACTGCCCCTGAAAACCAGAGGATCAGCTATGGGTCGGTTCTGACTCAACAGCAAACAAGAAGTTGTTCCTGACTCATGGCGCTCCTACATGTGCAGAGTAGAACTATGTTACATAGCATTTTCATGACTATAACCTTACAGAAGCAGATCACTTAATCTGTGAATTAAAAGTCCTCAAGATGTCTCTAGATTGGGTTCGAACTGCCCACCTTTTGGCTAATAGTCAGGTGCTTAGCACTGTACATCACCCAGGGGCTCCTTACTTTATTACAGCTAAGTAAATGTTGTTGTTATAGATAGTTTTGGTGGCTTAGGGAGCTCTGGCAGCCTAGTGGTAAGGAACTGCGCTGCTAACCCAAAGGCACACAGTTCAACTCTACCAGCTGTTTTGCAGGAACAAGTTGGGCAATCTCCTCCTGTGCAGTTTACTGCCTCTGAGTACTCACCACACAATCAGCATTAGTCAGTTGGTCCTGGCTCAACACTATACAACAATATTATTGTTATTAACTATCGATGGTGGTGGTGGTAGTGGTACATGTCAACTCATACAGTAATCAATCCTGTGTATGACAAGACAGAACACTGACCAATTCTGCACCATCTTCATAATCTTTGCTGTGCTTAAGCCCTACTGTTTTCAGACACTGTGGCCACTTCACCAAGAGTCTTATTTTTCAATGACTCTATTATAGCAAGCACGACGCTCTTCTCTATTGGCTGGCTCCTCCTGATAACATATTCAAAGTTTGTGTGGCAAAGTCACCATTCTCACTTCTTTTTTTTTAATCCAATAAACTTTATTAATACTAAAAAGTAAATTGTGTCACAAAATATTAATTATCCTTTGGAAAAAAATTTTAAAGCATTTAAAAATGTCAAAGGAACATGAGATCATTACTGTAAAAATATAAGGATAACTAGTAAAATATGTAGGAGGGCAGTGGTGATAAGGGTTAGGAGCAGAGAGGTGAGGACAGGCAGGGAGGAAACCACAAGGTCACATAATTTGGATGTGAGGGAGGGGGTAAGGGAAATGTGAAAGATCCGAGGGGAATCTGAAAAAGACAAGGTAATGATGGGCATAGTTCAATGGTGATTAATTTTCTGAAACAAAATGTATGGGAGTGATTGTATGAAACACAATGTGAATAAAGGAAAGTGTGTAACACAATGTATACAAATTTTGTACACAAACCAATATAAAATTTAAAAAAATTTAAATATCAAAGGCACTCTTGGCTGCCAGTTCATACAAAAGCAAGTGATAGGCTATTTGTCAAGTTATGCTAACCATTCTCACTTCTAAAAAGTATTCTAGCTGCACTTTTTCTAAGAGATTTGTTAGCTCTATTAGACAACCCAAAGTCAATCTCACTGCCATCAAGTAAATTCTGGCTCACGGTGATACTCCATTCTGTTTCTGAGGCTATATAAATCTTTATGGGATTTTATGGGGTGAATGGTGTATTGAAATCATCGGTCTTTCAATTACTGATTCAACATGTCGCCCACTTTGCCACTAGGACTCCTTATTCTTTTGACAGTTTACAGTACATTCAATATTCTCTGCAACCAACACAATCTAAAGGCACCAATTCTTTTTCAGACTTTGTTAATTACTGACCATTTTTCACATACCTATGATGCAACTGAAAATACTGTAGCCTGGGTCAGGTGTATTAATTGTTTTCAAAAGCATACTTTTGTTATCTTTGCTTTTGTTGTTAAGTGCCACAGAGTCAACTAAAGCTCACAGTAGCCCTTTGAATAACAGCCCTGAACCTTGCCCTATCCTGCACTGTTTGACACACCTCAACTCTTTGCTATAGTTACAGTGACAATTCATCTCATCCACAGTCTTTCTTTTCTGTGCTGACCCTATACCCTTCCAAGTATGATGTCTTTTCCAGAATAGTCCCTCCTGGCAACATGCCCACATATGTAAGATGGAGTTTCAAAATTCTTGCCTCCAAGGAGGAACCTGATTTCACCCTCTCCAGCACAGATGTGTTTGTTCTCTTGGCAATCGACGGTATATTCAATACTCTACTCCAGAACCACAGTTAAAAGGCATTGATTCTTCTTCAGCCATTCTTATTCATTGAACAGATCTCAGATGCTTATAATAAGAAATTGAGAAGACCATGGTCTGGATCAGGCACAGCTTAGTCTCTAGACTGACATTCCTGCACTTTAGCATTCTGAAGAGGTCCTTGACGGCAGATTTTTCCCAATGTAACTCCTCTTTTGACTTCCTGACTGCTAGTGCTAAGAATGTTGATTGTGGATCCAAGCAAGATGAAATTGTTAACAGTCTCAATCTTTTCTCCATCTATCATGATGCTGCCTACTTGCTTGGTTGGAAAGATCTTTGTTTTCTTTTTTTTTTTTAATAATTTTAATGAACATTTACAGAGAATTTGGATTTCCATTCATTCATTGCTGCACTTCTCTACCCACCCAGACCTCTCCCCCCGCCCCCCAGTTCGCTCCTCTCTTTCAAAAGTAAAGGAAAGACTCCCTCCCTGGTACACAATCCCCCCGCACCCCTCCCACCGCCCCAAGATCTTTGTTTTCTTGATGTTGATGTTCAATTCATATTGAAGGCTTTGCTCTATAGCGCTTCAAAAAGTTTAAATTCATGTTCATCTAGATGATAACATAATTATGATAAAAACAA